CTCGCTGTCGATATACGAAAGTTTGCGTTCTTTCTCATTGGTTGTGTATTTCTTTTAGCATTATTTACTGTTTTTTCTTCTCTCTTTGTCATCGTCATCGTTATTGTTGTTAAATGTGTATCTTGAATCTTCAATGGAAAGAAAGCAACTTCTAGTATAACTAGAACTCTATATACACCTTCGACAAACGGTGATATGTACTTTTTCATTTTAGATTTATTTCTGACTTCGCGACATATATATATATACAAACACTTTATGTTTTATTACGGTTTGTATGTATGAAAAAAACGCTTTTTTCTAATAAAGCTTTTTCCCATTACTATATTTTTGTCTATTTGAAACAAGCTTATTTACAGAGAATACTTGAAGATTTAGGTAACATAAATTTTCTTAGAACTTTTACACCAATTATCGGGATAGTTTTTTGAAAGATGAAAACACTGTCAGAAGTTTGTATGAAATAATCGACTGATCCATAATTATATAATCGGAATAACATCACCGAAACTATCTAGCCATCTTTTACGCTCAAAAAGATTTTTTTTTAATAGAAAAGAAGACTTTTTTCTACAAAACAAGTGGTCAAACTTTCATCATAGGTAACTGGGATCGGGGAATTCAAATCTGTATTTTTCTCTGAAAATTAACTACCTGATTTGGAGTTTAGCTTTCCTACATCAACGTTTTCCTCAAGATAAGTCAAGAATAGAGATGCACCACTGCCTCCAATTCTAGCTAATCCCGGTCAATTCCAAGAATTGCAATTGATGCACCCATAGGTACAAAGCTATAGCCATAGGAGTATTGAGAGCTATATTCCTTCGACTGTAGGGAGGGTCATATGAAACAAAATAAGTTTGTCGTCTTGTCGCAGGGCCAAAAAAACACAAGGTCAAAAAAACATCAAAGGTGAACTTTTATATAAAGGTTGACGAAAGTAAATCGAGGTCAGAGAATCCGAATCTGAAGTTAGTTTTTCAAAATTTTGAATTGAGTTTTTTGGGTTGAGGAAAGGGTTTTTTGAAAAAATAATGATATTTTATAAAGATTGACGAAAGTAAATCGGAGTCGGAGAATCCGAATCTGAAGTTAGTTTGTCAAAATTTTGAATTGAATTTTTTTGGTTCAGGAGAAACGGTTTTTTGAGAAAATAATTTTTTCTCGAATGTAGGAAGGGTTATATGAAGTAAAATAAATTTTCGTCTGTTTTTGTCAGAGGGAAAGGTGAAACGTCATAAAAAACGTTGGCTAAGCGTTCGATTCTTGTGCTTTTAATGTTGAACTGTCAACCACTTCGATTTTTCAGACTGAAAGTTCAGTCAATCCGACATATGTGATAAATTCTCCCTTAATCAGCTGTTTCATAACTGGGTGTCCATGGATGACACTTGTATACTTCTGTCTGATACAGTCGAGGGTCAAGTGAGCCGGGCCGACGAACGTTACTTGTGATAAGTGTTAGTGTGTTTAAAAGCAATAGTCGCAGTCACATCTTACAGTGACACTGATACCATCACCTAATAGTCTGCTTTGGATGTGAGAAAAATATAAGTACGATGTATGCACAGACATGAGAATGAATCGAGATTTTCGCGGGTGTCTCTACGCTGAAATATAAAGTCAGTTAAGTGGATAGAAGCTGTTTTCGCTGATTAATGCTTGAGTATCAGTTAGAGTGTGTGTGGAGGGAAGAGGGGAACGGTGTCAGCGAATAGGAGGCCCATACCCGCACCTACACTCATTTCAGTGGAAGAAAAGAAGGGCAGCTGAGATTGAGAATGGATGTTTGATGTTTTTCTTTAATTGAGTTTTTCTCGATGTCGCCTTTCTATGAGAATACCATAACCATGCATACAATTTATTGTCATTATCATTAAATCATGTTTCCCGGCATACATCTGTCAAACTAAAATCTACGCTGCAAATTAGCATTCCATCTTGTCACTTTTCCTGCTGCTTTTAGGTTTTAGATACCGATTGAATATTGACTATGCGTACTTTTCTGTTGATCATTTTCTCTATAATTCCATTCAATGAGAGTGTTGAAATTCTCGGTCTCTTCCTCAAACATGTTCACAATAGCACTGACATACATCCTTCTTCAATACAATCCGCCTCTCTTTACGCCGATCACACGAATGTAAATGTTTGGTCTCACGATTCTTTAGCGATGTTTCATGCTGCTATCATGCTCGCCAATCAATATAATATTCGCATTCATAACGAGAGTATAACGAGTAATGTCATTCAAGTAAATAATGATGAAAATGGCCATGCTTCACTGAATCTCCTTTGCCAATATATCACTACTCAACGCCCAAACATTGTTGGGATTGTTGGTCCGGATTCATCGACCACTGCTCGTTTTATCAGTCCATTTGCTTCTCATGTTAATTTGCCACTCGTCTCCTATGCTGCAACAAATATCGATCTCGCCGATAGACAACTCTATCCGACATTCTATCGAACTGTTCCATCGGATCTTCTCCTTGCTCGTGCTATCATTCACCTTTTCAAACAGTTCAAATGGAAAACCTGTACAATGATTTTTGAAAAAAGTGATTATGGCTATGGTGGACTCAGAATATTATCGGAAAATTATCATAATAATATTACAATCAAAGCACAATTGTTATTCGATGGAGACAAATTTCATGCTGATTTAAAACAAACATTGGAAACGAGTCGATCAAGAATTGTTCTTGTATGGGCAGATGAACAACAAACGACAAATATTATTAAACGAGCATTTGAAGAAAGACTCATCAGTACCCGATACGTTTGGATCACAACAAATCAGGTGATTATTCCCTCATATCTTGCCCATACATAGTTCAAATTGAGATTAGAAAAAGGTCAAAAAAAAAGATTCCGACTAAGCTCAAAAATGTTTCCCGGAGCAGATACTGGCTTCATAAAATGAAGAAATTTTAAAGAATGCTTCATAATTAATGAGAAATTCAAAAAACAAATTGCCAAGTCAAATAAAAAGTTGAATCTCAAAAAAAGGTATCCATGGTGCCTTGAGTTTTTAGGAGGTTTTCTGTTGAAGATGCCATAACTGGAATGAAAATATCAGCCGTTTAAAGTAATGTAAATTTACGCGCGACTGACATTTTTTTGTGAATTTTCTAAGATTGCTTTCGGTGTGTTTCCACCGGACATGCTCAAAAGTAATGAATTTAAGAAAAACCTTGAAGGTCTTCTTGCTATAATTCCATTCGGAGGCGATAGCGGCAGCAGCGATCATAAATCATTGAATTATAATCAAACGTTGCTCAATGCTGCATTGGCCACTTCTCAGAATTCACAAAATGAACACGGAATTGAATGTCACCTTGGAAATGAATCCAATATCAGTTCGTTTGCTATGTTTACTTTTGATGCCACATGGACATTAATTCAAGCATTGTACAAAACATCGCTCGATGGCAAATCTTCTCCATCACCTTGGTTTCTCTCATCATCCTATTGTTTTAATAGTTCATTGGAGAATGCCACTAAATATCATGAGTATTTAAAGGCAACACAATTTTTGGGCATATCTGGTCCCATAGAATTTTCAAAAAATGTTTCAAATGATCGTGTTGGAGGTGCCTATTATGTACTTGAAAACTTGCAATATAAAAACAAAGAACAACTCAGATTCGTACAAGTAATGAAATGGCATGATGAAGTTAAAGTTGAAAATGAGAATTGGCAAAGTATTATCCAACAACAAATTATTTGGCCAAATGGATCCGAAGAGATACCGAAAGATTATCCCCAAATTCAAGGTATCATTTTTTAAAAAATTCGCAAATATATATTTTCTTTGATAAAACTCATAAACGAAAATATGTGTGTATAAATAAAATCAAACTTTCTAGTACTGCCTCCATTCACTTCCTTTACGGACACTCCTCATATAAAAGTACTTCGAAAACAAGTATTGGGATTTATTTCAGAACCTATATATATAGAGAGAGAAGTCTCGAAGCTTGCTTCCTTGTAGTTGGTGTCATTATATATGAAATACGATAAGCTTACATCTAGATGTATTTATTTATTAGAGATAAAAGGAGCTGTATGAATTCTACGTTTTTGTTGCATTAGAACCTATGCTGATTGGAGTCCTGTAGTTCTATTCTGATCTATTCTATGCTAGGATTAGGATACAGTTAAATAAATTCTTCATACAATCTGAAAATGTTCTTCTTCCAGGACATGAAATTGAGCAGATTATTAGATGAAAACTAGATAAAATCTTATTATTAAGATAGAGCCAAATGATAGTTAGATCTTACACTAAACAGCAAAATATGTCTTGTCAAAGTATAGGATAGGATAGAGAACCAAAAGTCGTACTCTTGCAGAACTCTGGTACTGATAAACTTCTTTAAAATCGCTTATTAGGTGAGACATTACGCATTCATGTAATTGAATCTCCGCCGTATGTCATGATTTGGAATAAGTCATCAATGTCGGAAAAGCCATCGGATGCCAAGCTGCTCGATACTCAAGATGAAAACGTTAAAATATATGGTTATGCAGCTGATTTAATTCATCATCTTGAAGAAAACATGTATTTTAAGGCAAAAATCGTTGTAGCCCCATTGAACACAACTTATGCTGGCATGGTCGAATCTGTTTCACAGAACGAAAGTTGGGATATTGCCATTTCGGACATAGCAATTACCTCAAATCGTCTTGGAATTGTTGATTTTTCATTACCCATTTTTGAGGACACCATGCGAATTATTGTCCGCGAGAGTCCATCGTATAATATCAGTTTTTTCTCTTATCTGAGTCCATTCTCACTTTACGTTTGGCTCTCAATTGTCGGTGTAATCTTATTATCGGGCTTGCTTGTCTATATATTTGAGAGAGAAGAGAATGAACAAGAGGAAGGAGAACAACAAAAAGAATTCCGTGCGATGATCTTTGGAATGTATCGCGCTCTACGTAGAATTGTCGGAATTGGTGATGATGTTAAATTCAGATCAACATCAAGCCAAATGATATCAGTTGCCTTGCTTGCATTAAGTTGCATACTTATGGCTATATACACAGCCGATTTAGCATCGTTTCTTACAGTGCGACGTACTAATCCACCTATTTCCGGCATTGATGATATCAAAAATGGCCGTTTACCTTTCCATCGTGTCGGAATTGTGAAAAATACATCTATTATCGACTATTATATCCAGAATGTGTCAGATGTTTATTATCGTCTTGAAAATCCACAAGATATTTATTTGGCTCTGATCGAAAATCGCATCGATGCCGCACTATTTGAGGGTGCAGCGCTTCAATATGTAATCGATCGAAACTATTGTGGTCGTTTGTCGTTAGTTGGTGTCGGGTTTGCTAAATCATGGTTTGGTATTGCCATGAAAAAAGATTGGGAATACAAAGCCGATTTTGATATGAATATATTGTCAGTACGTGAAGAAGGTTTAATTGAAAAAAAATGGTTTTTAAAGCGATCCTGTAACAGTGATGTC